GTGTGCTGGATGCGGGCAAATAGACAGACAGTGCAGGACTTATCACGAAACTTGCAGGAATTGGGTTCGGACAACAATGCAGCAGCCCCTTATATTCAAGTGGTTAGCCCACCAGAGCCACCACCATTACCACCTGTTTTAAGCAGGCCGCTTCAAATAGAAAGTTATTATTACCCAATTGTACAGAATATATATTACAGAAACGTACATTCCATACACAAACATAATAAAATACATTGTATAATAAAAATATAAAAGTAAATTATAACGTAGTTTTATTTTATTTGTTCTCCTTAATAAATAAATCATTATTATTTATACCTATTCTTTTATTTTATTTTATAAATAAATAAATAAATAATTAAAACGCCATGGTTTTTAAAAGCAAAATCTTATTTCGTGCACTTATGGCCAGTAATCTGACTAAAGGTTTAGTGAAACTATTTTCGTCTTGTGTGTTATAATTACGAGTTCTTCGTGTGTTTTATTTATTGCAATTTAATTTAATAATATTCACGAATGTAAGCACCAAAAATCATTGATGTACATTGAATTCAATAACTATGCAAACGCCCATACAAAAGTTGGCCATGTCCTTTGAAATTAATGCGTGGTCAATTATCAGGGAAGTATTCTGTGAAGCAGTTCCTGTTTACAGAATGCGATATGTATTACCCACTATGATACCTACAAGACTATTTTCTTGAGCTGGTAGAATCATCAATGACTTCTCTCGCCTCGGTCTGCCGCGGATCATTTGGTGCATAGTTACAGAAGTTAATTGAAAGGTTACTTATGTAAGCGTGCTCCATCGAAGACCTCGTCATACTAAACAAGGTAGTGGCCTAACACCGACAAAAAAAAGAAATATAAAACTGAAATGGAAACAACAAAAAATAAAAGTCTATAACTTTTAGACCAACACGCGGTGATAATTGTAGTTGTATGGAGAGTCGCAACAATCCATCAGAAAGTGACAAAACGTTAGTCAAATATTGACTCTTCCCTTCCATCCCTTTCCATTATTTCATTTTCCCTGGCTCACACATCAAAGGCTCACCTGTAATTGCGAAGCGTGGACTCCACAATATATGAAAGAAAAAAAAGAAAGAAAGAAAAATAATTTATTTGGCATGAACAATTAGGGAAAAAAAACAAAGAAATGTACAATAATTACAATAAAAAAAAAGGTAAACAACAAACTAAAACAACAATGTTAGCTTAGGAACTAAAATAAATATGTAAAAAAAGTGCTTAAACAACTAAAAATTTGAGTATAACAAGAAAACAGCATACCCATGCCAAAAGGGTTGCCATCTCAGTATAAGTTGGGCTCAATAAGAACCCAACACTATATATATGTGTTTGTTGTGTACATAACATACCTATGACGTCCGCCGAAGCTACAATTATAAGCGTATATATTGACGCTTTGTATTGTTGACGCTTTCGCCTCCAACTGCCGGGACCAAAACCTGATCATGACTAATCTAGCGTCCACGTCATCGTTGTCCGACACGGTCCTGTTCTTGAAGATAAGGTAGTGCATAAGTATGTAGTAAGTAATCTTCCAAAAATGGTGTTTTTTTTTAATTTATCTTAAATCACACAATCATTTTCTGCTGTGCGCGGGTGCGAGTACAAACATTCAATTACATATACACATCACACCTAACCAAAAGAACAATTTGTGGATAACATAAAGAGTTGTTCCGTGCGAGAATAGAACCCGCGACACATTGCACGGTAGCCAATGTTAGATTTAGTTGGTCGAGTGATCACCATAATATAGGTAATGCCGTACCCCAAAATGGCAGTCTGTAGAAATTGCATGTAAAATATTGGTATGTTAGTCAACAAGGTGGTTGCCTTTCCGGTGTGTCCATCGACCAGGATTGGTGCGCAGAAAGTAAATATGCCAGGTCAGCACCCGAGTGGGCCTAAATGAAAGGTGCTTTACTCTTATGAGCCAGGTTTTGAAGAGCGGCAGAATCACGGCAGAATGTCTTCCACAATGAATGAAAAAAAAAAAGTTAATAAATTAGGGTCGAATATTTCTCCTCAAAATATTTAATGCATAATTTTTGTTTTATTGCATATTACGTTGTTTTGGTTGTGCGTTCCAATTAAATCGTTCTAAGTACTATTCACATTGATGATAATAATTACATCGAAATATTCTCCTTTCATCGAATGGAGAATTGAAGAATATTTACATATTATTATGCATTTTATACACGTACTAGCTTTTGCTAGCGGCTTCGCTCGCGTTAAGAAATATTATTATTAATAAGGTATAGTTTTTTCTGCGTTACTTTTTTTTTAAACCTTGCCCCACTCTAGGATTTTCTCCTGTGTCGTGGATGCGTTTACAAACATACAATTTCACATACACACGACACCCAGACCCGAAACAACAATTTGTGGATCACACAAAGTATTGTTCCGTGCGGGAATCGAACCCGCGACACGTCGCACGTCAGCAGTGTGTTGAAAATTAAAGCCTACAAAACTTCTTTGTAAACAATATTCTTAACATTTGTGTCATTAGGCGCTAAAAGTATTAAACTATTTGGTGAAATTACTCGTGAGCAAGCAACATAAAACTGTCCATGTCCATCAAACGACGGAAAATCACTATTACCGATTTTAAAAAGGAGATCTGTAAATCTACCAGCTGATTCATCCCCACCGAATTGCACTCTCATATTTTTAGCTCTGGTTCCTTTTGGCACCACTGGTAGAGTCTGCCGAAAGTCTCCGGCCACCAAAACTGTCATGCCACCAATTTCATTACTCCTTATATCCCTTAGTGATCTGTTTAAGGCTTCAATACCACCTTTATGGCAACCAATTACTTTTGTACTCTTTAAAACTTCAGCAAAATTACTTTGTTTGGAGATGTTGCAAATAGGAGTCTCCGCAGTGATTAGATTGAGTGGTAACTTAAAATTAACATCAGCAGTTCGACCACCTTCGAGTAATGTAGCAGCTATACCAGGACGCAGCTATGCGATGACGCTACAGCCAGGGCAATGCCTGGGTACTTCTTACTTTCGCCAAAAGTAAATTAATAAGGAAGTTACCAGTTCCACTTGGAGCGTCTAAGAAGAATATTCGACCTTCATTTGCATCTACACTTGTGATAATTTTATTGAATACTTCCAGCTGCTCGTCAATCAAGGATGCTTCATTCTTTCTTACGTCTTCTAAGGCCTCTGCATCGTAACTGGTCTCCTTCTAGTACTCCTAATTTTCAAAATAGATTAATGACTGCTCTACATCCACATCTTGCCTTTCTAATTGTTTTTTTTTAATCTTCAGAAAGGTTTTCTTTGTATTTTTTCCAAAGACATAAAGGGGTGGGAAACCTGGCAGACCAATAAAATGATAGCAAAAAGCTCTCGAAACATATGCGGTGTTTGACAATATGCTTCTTCTTCAAGAGGTGAATCCAAATGCTGTATCATAATGCTTCTCATCTTCGAGTAGATCTAGAGCCTTGTACGCGGATTGAAAAGTGGGATGTAAGTGACCATCTACAGTTTTCAACGCCGTAAATTAAATTGGGCCTCTGATCTCATGTAGAAGCATTCGGAGGTGATAGCATTCTGTATTGTTGGATGAACTGTGTAAACCCTGCCCAGAACGTGTTCTTTTTTTACCCCTGACCGTCCCTCAACGTTCACTCTTCTCTTCCTTCTCTGAAACGAATTTATTCGTACCATTAGGCTCTGATTGTTTCAAACTAATACATTTACATCCTCCATCAAATGATGGGAGGATCAAATGAGGGAGGAAGGATGAAATGGGATGAAAAATTATCAAAATTCTATTTAAGCGAACATCTTCATTAATCTGTAATTTAGCTCAATCAGTCGAAAATCTAAGAAGATTTGTACAAACTTTCATACCATTATTTTATTCCCTTAGAGGTGGAATTTATCAAAACCCTTTCTTAGGGGGTGTAGCCACCCTGTATAACATAGGTACGTATAAGATAGGTACGCATAACGTAGGCGTTGTAGTAGATTTATGCATGCAAGTTCTCAGCCCAATCGGTTGAAAATGGACAAAGTTTCATACAAACTTTAATCCCCTTTTTTATCCCCTTGGGGATAAAATTAATCAAAATCCTTTCTTAGCGGATGCCTACGTCATAACATCTACCTGCATGCCAAATTTCAGTCCGATCCGTCCAGTGGTTTGGGCTGTGTGTTGATAGATCACTATATCAGCCACCTTCGAGTTTTATATATTTAGATATGCACGTTGCTTCGTCAGAAAGCCACTTCATTTAATCATGCCGTGTCGAGAGATATACATATATACGAAAATTGCTCATTTAAAGGTGTACTGACTAAAAGCCATCCTGTTCGTTCTCCTGCGCTATGTCAGGGTCGCGATATATCATTGCCTTTGCACTTGCAACCCCAGTCGGTTATCAGCCCTGATCTTGACTCTGTCCTCTTTGAGGCGCCCTAGCTCGCCGTTTGCAGACCCTGCTTACGGTGTCCGGAGAACATCTCTCGAGCCTTGACGACCATATCAGAAGCTAGGGCGTGATTAAGATCGTTTCCTCTAGTGCTTCGCCCCTACTTAAACAGTAGTTTACTTTGCAGTAGGAGGAGACTGTTTTCTCACTATCCCTCATTCTGCGCCCTACCCTGAACCGAAGACAAAAATATTTCAATGTATACATATTTATCAAAAAGTATAATCAAGAGTATAACCAAAGATTATCATTGATAGATATTGTCAAAATGACACATTTATGTTATACGATATTATTTTGTACCACAATTATACAAACATTATATTGTTCATTTTTATCAAAGTCCACAAACATAGACGAGTCTCCTCTTCATCCTTTATATTTGCCGGAGGAAATTACTGACGAAACATACAATGCTCTTATTAGACAAAGACCGGACTTGGAGTCTATCTTTAGAGTTCAGAGAAAGGCTCAAATTGAACGACAACAAAAAAATAAGGAAAACATGTACATAAATAACGAAGAGCAAGAAGTGCTGTTGGTCGAAAACGAAGACAATGATATCACGAGACCTTTAAGAGAATTTGAAGATGAGCGCACCACGATTGAAGTAAACCCAGCGCTTGTCCCAGAATTCACCAGAGCCGAGAAGCAAAGGCTGCCTTTCATAAGCCATAAACGACAACGTTTTAATGATACTAAGAGGGTGGAATTGTTTGTGAATAATGGTTGGGATAGGGCTTGGGACAATGCTTGGTGGGCGGCTAATTGCTACACTTGCTACGCTGAAGACGAAATATTAGACGATAACAAAAATCCAAAGCAGAATTTGTGTCACAAAGCGTTCCAAACAAATGATGGAAGGTATGCAGCGACACAGAGTTTCTTTAAAAGTGGTTGTTACTACAGCTGGGAGTACCGGAAGAGAGGATATTGGAAGTATAGACGATACTATTGGCAAGGTGAGGATGAAGCAAGTCCAGGAACCCATGGTTCCACATTACACCGACTGGGTGCTTATACAAAAGGTTGTGTAAAGAGATTTTCAGATGTTAGTGAGATCTTTACCATGCGTGCTTGCAGAGGTTGGTGGCCAATGTATGTAGGGGGTTTGATGGAGAATAGAATGATAAGGCTGGAATTTCCAATTACTAAAGATATAAATAATACTTGTAGAACGTCTAAACAAGCAACATTGACTCCATTTCAGCGGGGAGTCTCGCTGTTTGGTCGTTTCCACGCCTGTTCATGCTTGGGCAGGTATTGCAACAATACTATTGCCAACGAGACTAATATGCCGTTAATTGTAATTGGAATTGTACTGATAATAATTAATGATAAAATTAAACGACATTTGTATTAGAATATACTTATATACTTGTTCATTTATTAGGTCTGTCCGCTTTTGTTGCCCGGGCAGTATACTGCCTGTATATGAGCTTTTTCTACTCTACAGTATCCTGTCAACCTATACCACCGGTTTCCGAAAATGCCGTTCCACTTTAGATAATTTAACTTATCACCTTTATAAGTTATTTTCTATGGCTATACTAGATGTCACCAGAACAGATTTAGTATTTTAGTTTTACTTATTGTGAGATCGTAATTGATTGACAGAGTTACTTCCCTTGATCGCTTGTATCCATTGCATTGGTAAGCAATCAGCGCCTACACAACAAAGGAGCTACGAGCGCATTGCCAACCTTTAGGCGATTTGGAGATTTTGGGGATTGGGGGGGGGAGAGTATTGGGCCTCCGGTAACCTAATAATACACGGCGAAACACAACGCTATGGTTATTTCACCCCTGTTTTCTGCGAGGCTGTGGTATCACTCCGGTCGAGCCGAGCCATTCATGCCAAAGGATGGCTCACCCACATTTTATTTTTACTTTTTTTTTTCACATTTAATTTAGGTATTCATGCATTATCAAATACAATTACACCTCCGGACAGACGGAGTAACTTTCGCATTTAAAATATTAATATGGAAGGGTAAATAACGTAGATATTGCAAATCACTTACATGAATAGCAATTACAATTACATTTTTTTTTATGTGATAGGTTGTCAAACGAGCAAACGGATTACCTGATGGTAAGCAATCAGCGTCGCCCATGGACACCCGCAACGTCGCGTCGGAGGAGTTACGAGTGCGTTGTCGACCTTTAGGGATTAGGGATTTGGAGATTTTGGGGTAGGGGAAAGATTGGGCCCTTAAGATAGGGCGCATTAAGAAATAATATTATTAATTAGGTATAGTTTTTGCGGCTTTAGTTTTTTTAGCGTGTCTTGAAAATTAAGGCCTCATCTTCATTAATCTTTAATTTCAGCTCAATTAGTCGAAAATCTAAGAAGATTTATGCAAACTTTCATCCCCTATTTTAACTTGACTGAATTTATCAAAATCCTTTTAATACGGGATGTAGGCATACCGTATAACATAGGTACGCAAATCATAGGCGTTATAGTAGCTTTATGCATGCAAGGTCTCAGCCCGATCGGTTTAAAACTGAAAAGTTTCATACTAACTTTCATCCCCTTTTTTATCTCCTTGAGGGTAAAATTAATCTAAATCCTTTCTTAGCGGATGCCTATGCCATAACATCTACCTGCATGCCAAATTTAGTCCGATCCGTCCAGTGGTTTGGGCTGTGTCTTGATAGATCACTATATCAGTCATCTTTGAGTTTTATATATTTAGAAGATAGATTTCGATATTTATACGACGTAGTTTATGTTAGGTATGTATGCTTATATATCTTCAAGGCTTACATGCTTACATTACATTTATTTAGGATCAGTTTTTATTATTTAAGTAGGCAATTATACGTTTATGGTAACTATAGTTAGAATGACGAAAAACAAAATGGATAATGCCACCTTTATGAAACGACTTATCCCGTCCAGGATGAGAGAACTGAGAAAAAATACGAACTTAATACAAAAAAGGGTAATGGTTATGGAATTAATAATTAAAAATGGAATCTATCATCAAATATTTAAAACAAAATTAACTGCCAAACATAAATTAAAATAAAAAAACTACGTTTAAAAAAATCGACTTCAAAAATAAAAAAAAGTGTCAAATAATTAAAATAGATATTTTAATACCAATCTGACGTACGCGAAGCTAATACTTCTATAAAACATGGTTTGAAGTCGGTGCCAAGCCTAATACATAATATAATAAGCATGATACATGAGAACCCACGCTCGCCGGGCGCGTGTGAATTTATTTGTTAGGATTTAAGAAAATTAGTACCTACCGATTTTCTAACTTGGTGGCGTTAGCGTCGAATCAGAAGTTTCATGGTTTCGTTACCGACAGGTGTTTGACAGGTCGTTCAACTGAAAATATCACAGCTGTGAGCCACAACGTTGAAAAAGATCCAAATTTGTCAATTTCTCGACTTTCTCAACAATCAGGGTTGTCCGAAACTACCACTTGGCGAATTTTGCGTAAAGCGTTGGCTTTCCAATGTTCAAATGGTGCAGGAATTAAAGCCCACCAACCATTATTATCGCCGCCGTAGGTTTCTCAGTTCATTCGAGCACAACCTGCTGAGTTTTCTAATAAAACATTCTTGTATCTAGTGGGTGCGACATCCAGCTACCAATGTCTTCTAGGTCGTTTCTAAACCTATAACATCTATCTACAACAAAAACAAATACAATTCCAAAATACAAGTCTTGGATATTATTTTATCGAAAGACGTTGGTTTATTGCCTACGTCATCGACAACGCGGACGCGCTAACAGATCGAGCGAAGGCGCGCGCGAAAAATAGTCGCCTCGCGCGCCAAGCTCGCACAAAAAGTTTCTTTGGGAAAGTTACTTGTTTTCATGAGTACAATTACATGTAATAATACCGGTCACTTAATATCAGTCACCCTATACAGTTTGTCTTAAATTTTGCATCGCCAATGAAATTTCGTGTTCGGAGGCACTCAAAATGTTACAGAAGGCTTACGGTGAATCGACTTTATTAAAAACACGTGCTTATGAGTGGTACAAAGCGTTCAAAAGCGGTCGAGATGTGATGGAAGATTTGCCTCGTTCTGGTAGGCCATCAACGTCTGCAACTGAAGTTAACATCGCAAAAGTGAAGGAAATAGTGACTGAAAATCCTCATTCAAGTTTGAGAGAGATGGCCGCCGAACTTTCTGTATCTCACGAGTCGATCCGTACCATTTTAACAAATAATTTGGGTATGAAACGTGTTGCCGCTCGGCTAGTCCCAAAAGACCTGAATTTTCTTCAAAAACTAAATCGCATGAAAGTCGCTGAGGACATACTAGAACGAGTCAATACCGACCCAACATTCATGAAACGCATTGTTACTGTTGACGAGACGTGAGAGTTTGACATGCAAACTAGTCAACAAGCTTCGGAATGGCGCCTTCCAACTGAACCAAAACCGAAAAAACCACGTCAAAGTCGATCAAAAGTCAAAGTCATGTTGACTGTTTTCTTTGACTATCGCGGTGTTGTGCACTCAGAATTCTTGCCCGTAGGTCAAACGGTAAATAAAAAATATTATTTGAGCGTTATGCGGCGTTTAAGAGAACAAATTCTACGAAAAAGGCCAGAAATGTGGAAAGAAAATTCTTGGATTTTGCATCACGATAATGCGCCTTCGCACAAGGCCATCATTGTAAACGATTTTTTGTCCAAACACTCAACAAACACCATCGAGCAGCCACCATATTCACCAGATATAGCTCCAGCTGACTTCTTTCTTTTTCCCACACCCAAATTACCCCTTCGTGGCACCCGTTTTCAATCGTTAGAAGACATAAAGGAGAATTCGCGGCGAGCACTGAACTCAATTCCGGAAACAGCGTTTAAAAAAAGTTTCGATGATTGGATTATTCGTTGGCGTAAGTGTATCGTTTCTGAAGGAGCATCCTTTGAAGGTGATAAAATAAATTTAGATGAATAACAAACATTTTGTGTATTATTGACTTTTTCCCGGTACTTTCTTGACAGAGTAGTATAGACAAATCAACAAGCCTATCCAATTCAACAACTACCCTTGCTCAGATTGTGAAGGAGCCTCTTGAGCGCGGCCTTAGTCCTTTTTCCAACGGGGGAGTCACGCGTATACTCCGTCGAGGACGTTACCGATATTTCATCGCCGTTTCGACACCGAATGTAACCCCTCCTGCCGTTTTTTGAGACCCATCCGAAGGTGGCACATTCCGATGACCATGAAAGCACAAACATGGCCTCAGACTTGTGGAGCGCCACCTCGAATCCCAACTGCCGAATCTTTGCAACGACTGTTGCCACCATGTATCTTAAGATATCAGGTCAGCTGCAGCCTGATGCGACCTCTCGTTCACTAGCACCAACGTGTCGTAAGCGTAACAGACTAGGGTAGCCAAGATGGATTTAGCATTTTAACGGATCGAAATTCATTTATCTATTTATTCAATTGGTATCAGTTATCAGTTCATATCGAGCAACCAAGACCGCCGCGCCGTGCGTTCTAATAACCCGCGTCAACACTCACACTCATACAATTTTACATTTTTTTTTATTTATTTTTTTTATTTCATTATCAAAAATAATATTAACAGGTTTTAACTGGTTAAGCATCACTTAAACCTCTCGGGTTTGTGTGTTATACTATTATACTGTTCTATTCGTCTCACACAATAATTATACATAAACTTAACATTAAACAATTTTATAACAAAACAATCAATCAACACACTGCCAAATACTTTCCAAGTAGTGGGTACTTAGAAAATACTCCGCAGTGTGTACCTAAAATGTACTCGGTAGTGTTCTGTTACATATTTGCGCAGAAATGTGTTCTTAATTTATATTTTTGGTTATGGTATTACGCAGTTGGTAAAGAATTTAATAATCGAGGTATTAGATATGCACTCGTTCTTGTGCCGTAGAAATTTTTTGCAGATATGGTGACAAGTTTTTTTTGTGCTACGCTCCGCGTGTATACAGGATGCCATTTTTCGAACTTTATTGACTCATTGAAAAATTGTTCTTTTAAGATGTTAAACTTGAACTTATCATGTACAGGTAATGTCCTGCAGTGCTTGAAGTAATCAATGTCATGTATTATGGTAGATTTGACTTTAGGTAAAATTTATAACATTAATGTCTTGAGTTGTAGTGCAAAAATCAAATCCAGGTAGGTTTTAAAAGTACGTCGTTTTATAAGGCAGGCGGTTTTTAATGATATAAAATTTAGCAAGAATTGTGCGTAATTTATCACATACTCGCTCAATATGGGGGCGCCAGTTAAACTTACTATCAATAAGTAATCCTAAGTACATGTGAGTATCAACCTGTTCAATGACTGAACATTTGACGAGTATTATCATGAAGACAACTATGTGAGTGTGCTATTAACTTGGAGATCTGGGTGTTATCTTTTAGGTATGCTGATTTTATGTGCATAATTTTTGTTTTTTTAGCATTCATAACGAGTCCCAGATCATGACACCACATACTAAGCTTGTCAAAGTCTTGTTGTAGAAGTGCACCTATAAGGGTCAAGTCATTTCCTTCGATAAGGAGACATGTATCGTCAGCAAACTGATACGATTTAGAATTGAGAAATATTGTATACATGTCGTTTACATAAGCCAGGAAATGCAAAGGACCACATACGGATCCTTGAGCTGTTCCGTAGGTAACGCAAACAGGGTCGCTTAAGCTGTTATCTATTCTAACGTTATATTTCCTGTTTTTTAGGTAGTCAGCACACCAGGCATTCATTGGGCCCCGCAATCCACTGTTTTTTAATTTTTCTACTATTTTGTGGTGGTTTAGAGTGTCGAATGCACGGGAGAAGTCAATGAATAGTGCTAGAACGTGTTTTTTTTCATTGAGTGCAGTGTTAATATGATCTGTAAATTTTGAAAGCAATTCAGTGGTGCTTTTATTTGGCTGAAAACCATATTGTGACTCATTTATAATAGAATTTTTTCCATAAAACGAGTATTACAAACAAATTTTTCGACAATTTTATCTATTGAAGATAATAACGTGATTGGGCGATAGTTATTTTCGTCGTTTCTTTTGAATTTTTGAATACTGGTCCAACACATCTTATTTTAAGATTATCCGGGTATAGGCCAGAGTTAACACTAACGTTTATGAGTCTAGCTATGCAAGA